TTGGTGGATTTGATGACGACAATGATGCGGGAGATTCGGACGACAACGACGATGTTGCGGCGACCATGGCCAAGTTGAAGCAGAAGAAGGAGGCTGCTAAGGCTGCTGCGCCCGAGAAGCCGAAGAAAAATTTGCAGACGACCGACAACGATGCTGAGGCGGTGGCTGCCTCGCGTCCGATCTCGAAGACAGTCAAAGCGAAGTTGGACGAGGATGATGCGGAAATTGCTGCGTTGGAGAAGAAGTTGGGTCTCAAGAAGGGCAAGAAGCTTCCCAAGGCTTTTGAGGAAGATGGTTTGGGTGATCTCCTCGGCGATCTGGATGAGGGCTCCGATGATGAGAATCGCAAGCGCAAGCGAGAGGCCGACGACTGGTTGCGCAACAAGCGGAGAAAGGCCCAGGGTTTGCCGGTTGATGACGACGTTGAGTCGGATGACGATGACAGCGAGATGGGTAGTGAGGATGGGTTGGATGGATTGGAGGGTTTTCACGAAGAAGACGACTCCCTTGGAGACTTTGATGAGGATGAGGACTTGGAGGAGGATGAGGATGAGGAAGATGAGGATATGGATGGCATGGATCTCGACGAGGATGAAGAGGAAGAGGAACCCGTTCCTAAGAAGAAGGAAAACCCATACGTTGCTCCGGTTCAAGAGCCCAGTGGGAATCAACCACAAAAGTACATTCCTCCCTCGCTTCGCGCTAAGGCTTCCTCGGAGTCCGAGAGTCTTGTACGTCTTCGGAGACAAGCGCAAGGACACCTGAACAAGCTGTCCGAAGCCAACATGATCTCAATCCTGGCGGAGTTCGAGAAGCTATACCGTGATTATCCCCGTGGAGAAGTCACCTCGACCCTCATCACACTCTTGTTCGGACTGATTTGCGAACGATCCGCTCTGTCGGATACCTTCATCATCCTGCATGCGGGTTTCATTGCTGCCGTCTACAAGGTGATGGGTATGGACTTTGGCGCGGAGATTGTGCAAAAGATTGTCGAAACCTTCGATGCTCGTGGAGACGAAAGAGGGTCGTTCTCAGGGAAGGAGACAATCAACCTGATCTCCCTTCTTTCCCAGCTGTACAATTTCCACGTCATCTCAAGCACGTTAATGTTTGACTACATCCGGATCTTCCTCCAGAACATTACAGAGGAAAACACCGAGCTTCTCCTCAAGATCATCCGAAGTACGTATCTAACCGCCTGCTGCAAGCTCATTCACACACCATACAAAGTACTAACGACGAACCACAGACTCTGGTCCTCAGCTCCGCCAAGATGACCCCTCCTCCCTCAAGGATATTGTGCTCCTCATTCAACCCGCCGTAGCGAAAGCCGGCGAGGCGTCCCTCTCCGTCCGCACCAAATTCATGATCGACACGATCACCGACCTGAAGAACAACCGCCTGAAAGCCGGCGCCGGCTCGACCATCTCGTCCGAACACCTCACGAAGATGCGCAAGATCCTCGGCGCGCTCAACAACACGCGGGTCATCCGCGCCTCGGAACCCATCAGCATCTCGCGGGAGGACATCCACAACTCGGCCAAGAAGGGGAAATGGTGGCTCGTGGGCGCCAGCTGGCGCGAGGACCCGCTTGAGTCCGCGCGCCAGGAACTCTCGAGCCTGCCCGCCGGCGCGGACCAGCAGCACACCCTACCCGACGACGACGACGACAGCGACAAAGAACCCGACTGGGTCAACATCGCCAAAGCCCACCGGATGAACACGGACGTGCGCCGCTCGATCTTCGTGGCCATCATGTCCGCCACGGACTACCAGGACGCCCACGTGCGCTTGCTCAAACTCCGGCTCAAGCGCGCCCAGGAGTTCGAGATCCCCCGCGTGCTGACCCACTGCGCCATGGAGGAGGCCGCGCACAACCCCTACTACACGCTGATCGCCCGCCGGCTGTGCGGCGAGATGGGCCGCCGCATCAAGGTCTCCTTCATGTACACCCTGTGGAACATCTTCAAGCGTATGGGCGAGAACGGCGACCTGCACGACGACTCCGACTCCGACGGCGGCTTCGGCGACGACGAGGACGAGAGCAACAAGCTCGGGATGAAGTCCATCGTCAACCTGGCCAAGATGTACGCCTCCCTGGTGGTGGACGGGACCTTGAACTTGGGGATCTTGAAGATCCTGAACTTCGCCTACCTGCAGCCCAAGAGCAAGACGTTTGTGGAGCTGCTGCTCATCAGCGTGATGCAGCAGTCGCAGCAACAGAACAGGAAGAAGAAGCGAGGGAGCAAGAAGAGCAAGAAAGGCGAGGAGGACGGCGATGAGGAGCGCGATGAAAAGGCCCTCATGGAGATCTTCTTGCGTGTCAAGGAGACGCCGCAGATCGCCAAGGGGCTGATCTTCTTCCTACGCAAGGTCGTCGCGAAGACGGATATCGTGCCCTCGAGCAAGGATTTGAAGTTGGTAAAGTGGGGGTGCACCGTTGCGGTCGATGCGCTCAAAATTGTGGTAAAAGATACCGGTGCCGATTAAGTCAACGGCTATGCATGAGTTTTTAGCTGGATTTTGGTTGCATCTGGCGTTGCAAGGTGTGGCGTTTTGTTGGGATAGGGCCAAAAGCAAGTGTATATAGACATGTTATTTCAGACATCATCGTTGCGATGAGGTGGTTGTTATTATCTCATGCTCATACATGTAGGGTATCTAATTTATGCACTATCTTGACCGCCTACATCGGAGACCAGCTCCCATTCCAGCACCACGGTCCACTTCCCTGATGCTTGCAAAGCAGTATTTCCAGAGGGGTTATCTCCGATTTCCTCTCCTATGTCACTCCCCCCCAGATCGATATCCCAGGTCAACCCTCGAGAAATCCCGATGGCAATTCCTGGGCGAAGCTCAGGCATTGTTGAGGTGACACGTCGCCGGGACTGTATCTCCGTCTCAGATTGTGACCGGGGCGCCCCAATGAGAAGCAGTTTCCTGAGCCGTGGATCTATTTCTGTCCCTGCCTCATCACCAAGAGCATCGGTCTCATGCCCGCACACAAACGCAAGAGGACCGCAGCTCGGAAGAGCAGACTGATGCACACTCTCGATCCGAACCACGGTCGAATTGTACCGCGGTTCCCTCCCAGGGGTATCCGCTCCTGTGCGCCAGGCCACACCCGTCTGTCGCTGCTGGTCGTGTCGTGTGCCCGTTTCCAGAACCCAGCTGCGCACTTCAGCAGCCATCCCGTCAGGGAGATAAGCGTGGGCGGAACCGCGAGCACGTCCGCGTCGACGCATCGCACGCGAAGATGGCGAGAACGGGGTCGGGAGGGCAGCGAGCTCGTCGTCCATGTGCGATGGGGACGGTGAGCGAGGTAGCACGAAGGCTGGTGGTTTACGTCGTTGAGACGATGGTGGTGGCTCTTGCGTCGATGCAGAGACCCATGGTTTGCTACTTGATTGGGGTTGGGTGCTTGGAGGGAGGTGAGATGTTGGAAAGAGGAAACGTCGGGGATTGGTTGTGGATGGAGGGTTGATGCTTGCCGGCGCTGTGGGTCGAGGTGTAGCTGTGGCTGCCGGGGTACGATGTGAAGGAGCTGGAGTGGCTTGCGTCTGCATCGAAGACTGTTTGGGGGCAACTGGAGTTGGGGACTGGGATTGAGGCGTTGGGGACGCGGGATGATCTTGTGACGATGACACGATCTGATCTGTGTCTGATCGTGTGGCTACTGGTTGGGATGAGGGAGCATCGTCGTTCACTGAGATTCGACGCCGCTTCTTCCGCTCTTGAATGGCTGCGAAGAGATCTTCAAATTCAGAATCTTCCTCTACTGGTGGCACAGGGGAGCTGCTCTGCGTTTGCCCGTCATCGAAGATGATTTCTCCCGAACGTATGTGTGGCGTATCATCTTGCTGGTGGTCTTCCGCATCGTCTGAATCTTCGATGATTTCTTTCCGGCGAGGCGTGTAAATCGCACCCCTATCGCGCCTCAAAAAGCCGGCAGTTGGGACCGGAGTGCTCTGGGGTCCGTCGTCTTCGGTGGAGAATGCATCCTGAGTTGCCTGCTGCGATGCGGGGGTTCTCTGTGAGACGAAGAATCGAGGGGTCGAGGCGAACTGTGGCCCTCCACTCGATCGCGAGGATGCGCGAAAGGGTGTCTAGTGGTACGTCAGCTGTTTAAAAGGCTGCTAGAGTTCGACGGAAGCAGTACATACAGCTACAGGACGCATTGAAGCAGGCGAAAGTGGAAACACAACATCGTTGGAATTGATGAGGAGAACGCGTAGAAAAAGGCAATTGGAGATCGACCGCGTCGAATCAATATAGCCATATTGAGCAGGCGGTCAGGGCTACTAGCTAGGTGCGGGGTGGTTTCCCCAGCTATACTCCGTAGTTACATCAGTCCTTCTCATACTCGTCGATGCCTGCATTCAGTCTACCTTCTTTATCCATCAATTTCACCTACACTCATCTTTGTCACTCATCAAGCCTATCACTCTTGGTACTAATACGAGTCAGCAAGAGACTGCTTTATCGCTTCTTTCGCAACAAGCGTATGAGGCATTTCTGGCAGCCAATCATTCACGCAAAGAAACCCCGCATATGATCCGTACTCCTACCTACAGTCGAGAGCCATTGCAGTCAGTATGTGAAAAATCATGGCTAGCAGGGGCCAACTCCAGCCACATGCACGCCGCACAATGCCCTCTTGAACTATTCGAGACATTCCTTATGACCTGGTCTTCATAGTCACGAAGCTCAGCTTCCGCTCATCTTCAGCCCGCCAAAGATGGATATAGAGTTCAGCAAATTGTATTAGCTGGTTTAGCCGCTCTTGCACAGCATAGCAATTTTGCTTTTGGTGGCAAGATGTTCAGCTGCAGTCTCATCCAGCCTTTGCAGTTCTGACTTCATAGTACAAACATCGTCTTTTTTTTAGGGTGCATATATAGTGCCCCCCCGGATCACATTTCTTGCTTTTAGCCCCTCATCGTCCATCTTCTGCTTAGAATTCTGACAGTTCAAACAACGCTCAACCACTTATTACAATGTCTGGCCCACCAGAAGGAGTGGTCTGGTTTCCCAAAAAGCTTTTCTCCGTTGGTGGGACTCAAAGCTACATATTAGCGATGAGGATCGTAAGAAAGAGCTCAAGCGAGAAGGGGAGGACTTTTATAGGTTTCTTTGGATTGACATCACAGTCAACGCGAAAGCCGAAGACAAAGACAAGCCAAAGAAGAAGCACCCGCGCACTGAATTTGCTGTCGGAGGGGCGACGGCAAGCTACGACAAAATCTCAGCTCTGTATGGCAGGGATGCTAGCAACCCGACTCGAATTGTGACCTTGCATCAAGATGGAAATCTGTTCGCGCAGCCGGAACAGGCATATTTGGTACACTTTCCCATGCCGACTCCCGAGGAGCGATTCCTGTGGCTGGATCGCCTATGCAATTCGTGGGGTATACCTCCCACAGTGTTGGAACTGCCCGTGGCCGTACGAAGATTTGGTCCAGCTGATCCGACTGGATTTCAAACATCGATTTGTTCAGATTCCGTTCGCCATCCCGTACAACCCAAAGCTTTATTCCCAGCCGGAAAGAGATCTTTTGCCGGAGCAAATTGACAGAGCTGGGCTCGAGATCATGCCGGAAAAGACCATCGTGGACAACGTACTGCATCCGATCTTGCAAACTACGACCCGGTTCACGAAGAAGATACTTGGTGAGAAGGCGACTAATTCGGATGGGGAGCCTTCTCACGAGGCTCTTTTCCAAGGCTCAGACGCAGAAACAAAACGAGCCAAGGACGATCCCCGCAAATGGCTGGATAGCTGCAAAGGCAAGGGTCCACAAGATCAATTGGCCAAGGCCAGAGACCTCGATGCATTAGCCAAGAAGTACAATGTTGATCGCAATCCCAAATACTATCGTGCGGAGGTCGACCAAGAAGATCTCAGCAAAAGCCCCAGCGGCACATTCCAGGAATCTGTGAAAAAATGGATGTTGGATTTCTGGGCTGAAAATCGGCCACATCTCTTTGGAAATCAGAAACATGCAGCCTCCGCCGCGCTAGTCGCAGAGAAATGGTCTCAGGAGATAGCTGAAAAGCCTGAGTTCAAAAATCTTACTATTCAAAGTCTTTTGGAACAAAGAGACACTGGAGAACGTGAGAGATTAGTCAAGGCGCTCTTCGACGCGATCAATGCCGGGCCCACGGGATGGAAGGTCATTCTCAAGCCCAAACTCGGTCCTGTGGATTCTTTCGGTGCTGCCATCACGGAGATGGGGGCTTTCTTGAAACTTAACTTTGGGGACGTCTTCGAATTCAACCTGGGAAAATGGGTGCTGAAAATGGCAGACTGGAATCATTTTGGTAAATGGATAAACCCAGACTGCCCGGTGCAGCCCAAAGACGACGAGTTGGTTGGTCTGCCAAAGTACACCCCATGGCCTTGGTATCAGCGACGGACATTGCTCTCCTCTCCTGGCGGTTAGCCTGATAGTATTGTGACCGGCCACATTGACTTCACCACGAACCCTACCTTTGGCCTGGGTCTTGCCCATGCGGACGTGACGCACCGACTGGACGTTACTGAATTGATGTGCATTCTGCCTATGCCAGGGGAGGTATACACCCGTCAAGGGGAAAAAGAAGTTGGGTACCAAAATGTCTCTGCAAAAGGCGAGCAAGGACGACCAATTGACTTTTACAGTCGTGACCTTGTTCTCGCCTTTCCCGCTAGGGAGGTGAAGACGAGCTCTGCGACAAAGGACATGACACCAGATCATGGAGTTATCACTTACAATGGCAAGAATTTCCCTGATATCATTAAGCGCGAGTACGGCTTGGTCATGAACTACAATATCACCGAGTCGACCCCATGGGAGAAACAACTTGCGCTTTTCATGGTTCAGATCCTGGCCGTCGCAGCGGATGCTATCCCCGTCGTGGGACCTCTCGTTTCATTTACCATCTACATGGGAGGTAATTCGATCATCGATGCTGCATGGATCTCGGAGTACGAGAGCTCGAGCCTGCCAGTGTTTGCGTTGCTGTATTCTCAGAGACGTAATGTGGCGAAGTACAAGACGAAGGTAGCGCCGAAGTTCAATTTCAAATTGACCCTCTGAGCGCGGCTACAGGCACAAACCGAAATATCAGTGTGGCCGGACATAGCTGGACTTGCCCACTGAATATCTATTCATGGTTGGGGAAATTATATGCGTGTATGTATGAAGCGCAAATCAGCGCGCGGAGTTCAACTGGTTTATGGCTGTGGAGCTCCACCCAGCTATGTGGCCTCCAACGACCTCAAGCTTACAAGGGGAATTACATATGACTGGGCTCGGAAATTACAACGTTTGCATAAGGCGATTCCGATTTAAAGGTAGTCTCGATCAAGATTTTAAAGAAACTGCAGCGCGGCATGGTCCCCTCGTTCGCAGTAATCAGATAGAGTCTATTGCTCTATATGAAGTATACTAAAGAGGCGCATGGCGATGTGACCGCAATATTGACCCAAGTCTCTCGGAAAAAAAGAGAAAGAAATGGAGTCCCTGCTTCTCGATGCATATATGCGGACATGCGTTCTTCCACTTTTCACAACGCCAAACGGTACTACCTTACATTCTCGAACGCATATGAGTTATTGGATAACATCAGGGGTTAAATCTTCCCGTGGCTATGTTTGAAGGCCATAGTTCATGGGGAATTGGTCGGAAGAAGAGCTACGGGTGAAAAGAGAGTCGATTCCATTCAAAAGGTAACTTGCTGCTTTTCATTCCGACACACGAGAAATCATTCGCAAGGAAAGCCACTCCATCTCCAACGGGATGCCCCGATAGGAATATTCATCTCCCAGAAACCGAATATTCTTGGCCCCGGATTTTCGCAGAATATCTTCCCACAGATCCTCCCACCGCATGAAGTAGGCTGTGTCCCCATGCGCATTGCCCTCAAAACACATTCCAACCACATACCCGTCCCGGTCGAACACCATCGATCCTGAGTCCCCCCAAAGCATCACACCGTTGTACGAGTTGTACGAGTTGTATATAGAATGTACATACTGAACCAATGGTTCTCCTCTTGCTTCAAAGATAGTGGCAGTAGTATGGGTAATCCACGCTGTGCGCAGTCCGTTGTATCTCCCTTCCGTTTTGGCCGTGGAATGCCCTATCTTCCATAGAGACTTCCCGGGTTGGAGCCGCTCCTCCAAATACCAAACTCCCACAACTTCGGATACTGGGTCCAGAAAGTCCTCCGAGGAACATGGAGACTGCAAAAAAGAGGCGAAAGTGCTTAGCAGAGATGCGATTATCAGGGGCTATGATGGGATGGTAGTTTACCTTGTTCTCGCCCAGACGTCGGTCTGCGCGCATGCGGACAAGTTGCCAGTCCAGGAAGACCGACGGTGAACTGACTTCTGAGGAGGAGGGTTCCTGTTGTCGTGCTTTCAGGCCGGACGCGGCGACCACAGTGCCGAACTCGTAGTTCTTGTTATCTTGATCCTTCTGGATTTGGGCGCGTTCTGCTCTAATCTTAGTAAGGGTGTTGTTTGGATATGTCCAGAATTTTAGATCCCCGGGGGCGGACACAGGCTCGTTCTGCGCTTGCGCGGCTTGAAAACGTTCGCAGCGCATTTCATCCTCATAATCTCGTGCGAGATCATCGAGGTTGTCCATGTTCATTATGATTTCATACAAGCCTGGGCTATCATCCAGGAGGAGTCTAGCCGCTGTGGCGTCTCGGAACGGTACGCCATATGTCTTCCACTCGTCAAAAGCCGGGGTGTTCTCTCCCTTCTGAGCACAGGACTCGACATGTGCATCGGTAGGCAGGACACAGCGCGCGGATGTCAGCGCGTACGGCATCCACTCATCTGTATCCGGATCCTGGAGCTCCACCCAGCAGCCCAGGGTCCCTCCCCTGCGCTTCGGGTGAGTGGCCTGAGGCTAGACTATCCCCCATCTCACAGGGTTTATCCTCTTCGAAGCCGTGTGTAAGGGACTTAGGAAGGCCATGCAGGTCCAAAGGTGGTCGGCTTGCCGGGTCCTGGCGGATAAGCACCCCAACTGAATCAAGACCAAATGATTCCAGAACGGTAACAATCTGTTCCCGAACCACTTTCCAATCCACGGATGCCGTCGGATCCACCCCCAGCAAGACAGTGGGTGCAGAGCCCGAAGTCGAGGACGTCGCCCCAGTGCGACAGCAGCTAATATAAAGGACTCCCGCCAGAGGGATCGTCCGGAGAATTGCTTCTAACACAGCCTCCCACTGCGAAAAGACGGCATCCTTTACGGTGCACGACTGCAACCGGAGGCGGTACTTTGCGCAGAACAAGATATCACAGATCTCGACCGCGATGTTATACTCATTGGTGGCGGATCCTTCTAATTCTGGGAGGTAGTGGTACACTGCCCAGGCCGCCCGAGTCGCTCGTGCAGGCCAGCCGGGGTCGTGGGGCTTCCTTTTCACTGTGATCTTCATGGTTGGTACGCTCGGCTTGTCTTGTTCGAATAGACCGCGCTGCTTCCAAAAGTGTACATTGTCGATCATGCCCAGGTCATTTTCTTTGCAGATTTCCAAAGCCTTTAGTGCCAAGTCGAGGTTCCTTGTATGGAGAGGATGGTCTGGGCTGATCAGATTGCGGTAATAGTCTGGTTCAAACAACGATGGGACGCCCACGCGGAGATCTTCTTCGATACGGTGGTTGTCTGAGGTCGTGTTGGGGCTCTCATCTCTGGATGACCGGTTGTTTCATCTGACCCGGATGCGCTGGCCGGACAAGGACAGGAAGAATCCTGACGCGTAGCTGAGTTCGTGTGCGGTGACTGGCACTACCTGAGGTCCACCTGCCAATGATATGGCTAGTAAAGAGTTAGCAGATGCGACCTCTCTAGACCGAGAAATCAAGAGAGTGAGAGAGTGGGGAGGCAAGTACGCATACCTCTCCTGTCTTCTTTCTCTGCAGAATCCACTCCTCGCAACATACTGGTAGAACTCCGTAGGTGTGCAATAATTGAGGTTATTTGTTGGTTAGGGAAGCTCTAGGAAGAATGAGCAGGGTTGGATTATACTGTGTACATTTCGTCTTCCTCCTTTCGGTACCTCATCCAGTGAGTCATGAGTGTCATCATATTGACTGTATCCTTCTGGCCCTGCACCATGCGAATCGGTGAAGTAATTTCAGCATAATAGAACAGGCTCGTTATGATCGAAGGATTGGCGCTGCAAACGGTTTTGAGTGGTTGTGATGAATTATTCTTTCTCTTTGGCTGAAATACGTAGGCTTGTGGAGTTGACTCTTGGTAGAATCCAAAGTCTTTCCTATTGAAGGAATAGAGGCCGGTGCTCGATCCTAATGTAAATACTATGCTACACATGAAGTTGGAAAATGCACATGTCTCATTATCACTCAGCTTATCATACTATTTCCCTGCCTACATCAGTATGACGGTAGATGAAGACGCAGGTTGCACTTCGATTTCCCTACAGCCGGCTTTTCTCGCTAATCTTGGTCCAGGCACTCTCCTTGACATTCTGGAAGTCCATGATTGCATCCGGGCCACCAAAACGATTCTGGGTCGCTTTCCAGTCCCTGTCAACGGCCGTCTCTGGTCTCCAGCGGACAACATCTCTCAATTCCTTCTGGAGATGACCTTCCAGAGCGTCCGCGATAAATCCTCCAATTGAAGGCATCTGCATCGCGCCGTTACCGGATGCTCCTACAGCAACGACCAACGAAGGATGCTTGGGATGCCGATCAATCAAGAAGGCACGATCTGGCGTATCAGCATCCCAGCAGATACGAGCAAAGGAAAGCGGTCGGTCTGCAAGCTGCGGCATTGTGTCCCGGAGAAAGTCCCTAGCACGAGCCTCGGCTTCTAGCGGAATCTGGTGTGCTGGAAATGGGATACTCCTGATGTCACCATTTCGCTTAGGATCCGGAACAAAGTTGCAGTAGCCGGGATGCTCATCGCAGATCTTCAACTCATGCTTATCCTCATCGGGCTCCATGAAGAAGCCCTTAGCAATGTTGAACAGCACGGGTAGATTCTTGTAACGTTTGGCCTCTTCGGGTGTCATCTTGATATGGCACAAAGTCCAGGCTGTAGGACGCAGCTGCTTCTCAAAGTCCAGAAGCCGGTCACTGCCCGCACCAGCCGATAAAATGGTGCGGTCCGCGCGATGAACCACGCCATCGGATGTTTTTGCTCCCACAACATCGCCATTCTCAAAGACTAGAGCCACAACATTTCCTTGCGGGGACCCGGTAAGAAACTTGGCTCCCAAGCGCTTGGCTTCCGTGTAGGCGGATACCATGGCTTTTTGGGCGTGGATCCATCCCGCGTTGGATTTGTTGAGCCAGCCCTGCCAGCCGGGGAACTTGCCAGTCAAGACTCCTGCCGGCATTGTCTTGCGAAAGTCCTCTGCCGTTTCCAGCTTCACAAAGTCACCCATCGAAGATTCAATTTCTGTCTCGCGAATGTGTTCGATCAACGCAGGGGTGTGACCCGATACAACCACGCCGGTTTCATGGAAATATGGCTTGAACACGGGATCTGTTTTCCAGCCTTTCAAGGCAGCACGGGTGCAGGTAGCAAAAGCAATGCTGCGGGGATCCGTGTCAGACTCTAGTCACTAATCAGTCGGTTCCTCTTTGGTTCGTCGAGTCTCAAGGATACTTACCCTTCGGCTCTCGATGTTCCATGATTTTGTTGATATCATTCCCAGCTGCAATCGCAGAGGGAACGGTATAGGGATCTAGCACCGTGACATTCTTGTAGCCACGACGGACCAAGTGCAAAGCCGTTGAGCATCCCCAGACACCTGCACCAACAATGAGGATGGTGGAATCATGACTTAAATCCGAGGGGACCATGATGCTGAGAGTTGTGTACTGGATGTAGCGGGCAAGTGGAGAAGGACTTGCTCTGGTACGCAAAGGAACAGATCAAGAGAGCATCGGCCAAGACGAGAGTATTTGAAGGGAAGGCTTCATCATGCCATGTCCATCTGTTCATCGCGGAATTGAACCGAGGGAGATGAAGTATGAGGCAAAGTGGAAGAAGCATGGCAGGGAATCAGCCATCGAGCAGCCAAAAGGCGGGGTTCCCAATGCAGTTTAGCCCACCGGTTGGACCTTCCTCGCTTCTGAGCATATCGACGACTCCCTTCTACTCAGTATACTCAGTATACTCAGTATTCACCTTACACTCCTAACCGTCCTCTTCTCCACACATCCACTCCAGTGATAAGGTTGTCTCGTGGCGGATGTTATCAGTCGCGTGCAGTGTCCAGACCTGCTTTAGTCGGTGGATCTGACGGCTTCTCCGCATCTCTGTCTCCTTGCCCTTCTTGGCAGATGCCATCAGTCTCAACCCCGTTGCGATAACACCCGTCGTTTGGAGCTTCCTCGACAAGTATACTTATCTTTTTTCCATTTATTCTGCCTCAATGGCTCGAGGGAAAGAGTCTCACCCACCTCTCTTATCACGAGGCACTACGTTCACGATGTCGCTAGAGTTTAGCCATCGTTGGCTTCGTGATTGCAGTGGCGGACAAACCAAGGCCAAAGATCGTCTTGCCTTGCCTTATCGTTCATCACCTATCATCACCTACCATGGCATTATGCTCGGTTATTCTCGTCCAATCGGATGAACAAATGAACCTTGATAGAGCGGAATATTGACGCCTCCCCGGGCCTGAGGATGCTCTTTGGTTCAAGTCAAACCGCGCTGGTGCTGTAGAGATGCATTTAAAAGAGCGGCCACTCCCCCTCCCGGTCTCCTGTCTTTGTCCTGTCTGCCATACATCAAGACATCATGACTCGCTCTGAGGATATACAAACAGACGTACCGGGAACGGTCTACCTCGTCGACGCAGGGGGAAACCTGAGCGACGCTGCCCATGCTGGCAGTCAGGATATCATACTGATTCCCCAGCCGACTTCGTCAGTTGCCGATCCTTTGGTATGTGGAGAAAGTTAATTAGCTGGCCTCTATTCTCAAGACTGACTGTTCCCTGTTAGAACTGGCCCAGGTACAAGAAATACTGGACGCTCTTTCTGATTTCTGCCTACGCATGCTTGAACTCCTTTGGCGAGAACAATTGGGGAGCAGCATGGACAACAATCTCGGAGGATACCGGTGTGAGCTTGAGTAATATGAACGGTGGCTCTGCTCTCAACTATCTCATGCTCGGCTTTTTCAACATAATCTGGATCCCCACAGCCATGAAATTTGGACGAAAGATTGTTTACATCCTCAGCTTGGTCTTCGTACTCGCTAGTGGAATCTGGGGCGGTGTTTTCAGTGGTGTTGCACAGTACTACATCATGATGACTGTCAATGGTATCGGTACCGCAGCCTACCAAGCCCTAATTCAGCTAACGGTACGTCACCTCTATAGACCCTCTCTGTGGCTACTAAATGGATCATAGATCTTTGATGTCTTCTTCTCCCATCAACGTGGCCGTATGCTCGCTATCTATATTTTCTTCCAGCAGCTTGGTTCCATCATTGGCTTGATTTGTGGTGGTTATATCTCCGATGGCATCGGCTGGAGATGGAGCCAGCCCATCGTGGCAGGAGCATGCGTAAGTTCTTGTGCTCATAACACAGAGCATGGCCGAAGCTAAACGGGTTTGAAGGCTTGCTTGATTCTTCTCTTCATCTTCACTTTTGATGACACCATGTTCCCGAGATACCGATTCTCAGGCGATACATCGTCTGAGGACTCGAAGGTCGACCCCACCACTACACTGCCCACGGACGACAAGGACCAGAAGCTGGAGGCCCCTATATCCGTCGTAGCCAGCCATGGTGCAGGGCAGATCTCAATGCCCCCACGGACCTACCGCCAAAAAATTGCTTTAGTGCACTATTTCAAAGACGACCATACAACCTGGTTCCAGTACTTCCGCCGTCCATTCTTCCTCTTCGCTTTTCCCAACATCCTCCTGGCAGGGATCCAATTTGCCCTAGGCTGCACCGCCGGGATTGTCTCCTTCAACACCATCTCCGAGATCATGACCGAGCCACCATACAACTGGAGCGCTGGTCCCGCCGGGCTGATCTTCCTAGCTGCCCTCGTCGGCAACTTTATTGGGTACGGCGCCTTATCCAGTGCAATCCAACATTCAAGCTAACCACAAACTTCAGAATGGGAATCGGTTCGCTGTCTGACTGGCTTGTCATCTTCCTCGCCCGCCGCAACAAGGGGTACAAGGAACCCGAAATGCGTCTCTGGGCCTACGGACTCCCCATCATCCTCGCCGCCGTCGGCTACTTTCTCTATGGCTGGGGCGCCACCGAGGGTGCCCACTGGATGACCATTGCCGTCGGTCTCTGCTGCATGATCGCACAGCAGGTCTCTGCCACGAGTATCGCGACTGCGTACGCAATGGAATGCTTCGATCAGGTTAGTTGCATGTCCCCTGGCTATACTGAAACCCCTGCACCCCTTCCTTCTCTTGCCGATGCTCTTCTTCCGCTTTCCCTTCCTCTTGTATCTTAGGTCGGACTATCTAACCCTACAAACCATATACTAGATATCCGGAGAACTAGTCATCATTCTAGCCTGCTGCTCCTCCATCATCAACTTCGTCATTTCCTTCACGGTACAGGACTTCATTGACGGGACAAACTACGGCTGGACCTTTACCTTCTACGGCATTTTGGTCGTACTGTCCATGCTGATGGGCGTGCCGATGCTGATCTGGGGCAAGAGTTGGCGCCGCAAGTGCAAGCCACGATATGAGCAGTTCCTCGCCGAAAAGGATCTCCATTGAGCTGTCAGCCCGGGCGACTCCGGACGGCAAGCAAGCTTGCTACATGCTCGTACATCCTCTTCTTATGATTCATGATTGCTATACCTGTTTCCTCGTCTACTTGCTTGCTCCGTCGCTATGGTTTTTGGTCCATTGGGCACAAACGAATCACTGGCCTTCAATGCAAGACAAACATGCACTGCACAAATAATCTATTCCGCCTGAAAATACCAGTATCCTCATTCTCTCCTACACTATCAGGATATGTCTAGTTGGAAGATAGAATTGTCTCTGCGGGATGGGAACGCAAGGGCTGTTGAATACCCATGCTGCTCCGTAGTCAAATATAGAAGCATCAACGAGGCTTATGCGTGAAAGCCACGAGCTACTGACTTCGCGGGGCCGACATTGAGGAGGAATGTGTTTGCACACACGCGGCGATTGCGAGATTTGGGAGTGGGGACGGAACCATTAGACTAAGTGGGTGAGATGGGAAGGTAGATTGCGTCACTTTTTCTGGAAGTGCAAGTAGCAGAGTGATGCTAAATCATGAATTCATGAATCATGACGGACGGGCACGTCTCGTCTCTCACGAGAAGAATTTCTGAGCGGCAACGCGCTCCTTAGCCACGCGATCCTTAAGAGCCTTCTTCACCTTGGCGATTTCGTTGGTAATACCAGCATCACCGGGGGCCAGACGATCGGCCTCTTGGAGGTCCTTCAGGGCCTCGTCCTCCTCCTTCAGGCCGCTCAGGGCAACGGCACGGCGGTAGTACGCCTTGGCCTTATCGGCATCCTTGGCCTCGGCAGCAGCAGCCACATCGAGGGCGTAAGTAGCCCAAGTCTGAGCGTTCTTGAATTGGCCGAGCTTGTTCGCCAGGAGGGAAGAGTTGGAGTGGAGGGTGAAGCGGAGAGCCTTCATCTGGGGGCCAAGCTCCTTAGGGTCCTGCTCGTCGGGCTCGGGGAACTCGTTGAGGTAGCGCAAACCCTTCTGGTACTTTTCGAGACCAAGGGCGATGTTGCCGCTCTTAAAGGCGGCGTTTCCGAAGTTCTTCAACTCAGCGGCGATCTTGTAGCACACCGGAGCACTCAGCTGCTCGCCCTGGTGGTCATCGGGGAAATCCTCGTAGGGGTCGCCAGTTGCATCAGGGGTCTGCTTGTCGGCATCCTCGTAGTCTTGGCCGGTGAGCTCGCCGCAGTCGACAATGGTGACGTCCGTGGTGGGCTTGTCTGCCTGGGTAGACATGTTCTCGATCTTGCGAACAACGCTCTTTCCGTTGATTACCTCGCCGAAGACGACGTGCTTGCCGTCAAGGTGAGGAGTGGGGACAGTAGTGATGAAGAACTGACTGCCGTTGGTGCCGGGGCCGGAGTTGGCCATGGAGAGGAGGAAAGGCCGGTCATGCTTGAGGTCGAAGTTCTCGTCGGGGAACTTCTCGCCGTAGATGGATTCGCCGCCAGTGCCGTTGAATGCAGTGAAGTCACCACCCTGGATCATGAACTGCTTGATCACACGGTGGAAGATGGAACCTGGTCAAGTCATGGGTGGTTAGTTTTGGCTTGCGAGGACCAATGTCGGAGCGGACGGGAAGTGGGAAGGAGAAAAAAATTATGGGACCGGAAATGGTCAAAATCGTACCCTTGAAGCTCAATGGCTTGCCCTGCTTGCCCACGCCCTTCTCGCCTGTGGAGAGTGCACGGAAGTTCTCTGCGGTCTTGGGAACAACTGTTGTACAGTCAGAGTGTGCCCCGAAAAAGCGTCGTGGGGCTTAGATTGACACTATACCATCGTTGAACTGCGCGGGCGGGGTAGGTTAGCAAGGCTCTCACTCCAAGATCGGCGACCTCGGCATAGGATAGGAAATGTCCGCTGATTAAACGAAAGAACTACTAACCAGCTCGAGAGCAATGCGACCGGCCTTCTGTTCACCGATTTGAATGTCAAAGAAGACACGGGGGCGGCCTGTAGGAGCGCAATGGGTCAGTTACCGGAGCTTCGAGGCTGGATCCCCGCGGCGGGGAAGAAGGGAAGTCGGAACACACGCTGAGACTCAGCCATGGTGCTGGATGATGGCTATGTGTGGAGAGTGAATGGAGAAGATAGGTGGGAAAGCGGAAAAGGTGGCTTTGAATTGGCACAGGAGAGAGAAGAAGAAGAAGAAGAAGTAGAAGTAGAATGTATAAGGAGAAGAAGTCAGACAATGGGTAAGTGGATAAAATGACTGAATGACAGACAGACAGACAGACAGAGTACCAGTAAATGAGGAGAAATGGAAGGAAAGTCAAGAGGAGAAAGAAAGTCCAGGACTAAAGAGGTAAGAAGTGGGCTGGGCCGGGGCCCTCTGCTTGCGATGCTTCAAGAAGCTTCCATCGTTTCTCTTTGGCGCCTACCGGGAATCTCTGCCACTGGACGCACTGTACATACAGTAAGTTAACTTCATCTTCTCTTTTCTGTTCTTTTCCTTTGCTTCCCCCTTCCCCCTCCCCCAATCCCGTTACATTCCACCTTTCTCCGTCTTGATTGATGGATAGATGAGGGGAAAACGTACACTATTTAGCGATCGATCGCGGTCTGATAGGAGTGGATCTACGCTCCTACTGCTACTGTTCGTACCGAGTAAGGCAATCTGGGGAATTCTATGCTTCTGGAATCTAAACGCCCTCCCTTCCCGCCCACCCCATTTCCCCCTTCCCCCCAAATCTATTTATGGGTATGTCTATAAGGAACTTTTTATATACACCTGAACCGACCTGAATCTCGAGGGATCATTCTTTTTCGTAAATTCATCGTGACGCCCTTCCATCAATCAATCCAATAACTCCGCGGGTATCTTGAACTCGAAAGTCTGAGGCCGCGTTTCTTGCGGCTCGGCCTCCTTCTCCTTCTTCTCCTTCTTGGGTAGTTGGGTGTTGATCTCGATCGTGACCTATATCAGCCGCAAAAAACCATAAGCGTCAGCCCAGAATCATCAGTGAAGGAAGCAGGAAGAGAAGCGAGAGCTTTACCACCGCATCTTCACTGCGGTAATCTACACCCACCGGCCCGTCATTTTTGAGCTCGACCTCCATCATCGCCTGGAAGATGCCATTCTTCACCCGCTCAGGCTTGTAGCTGTTGCTCAGTTTTTGGTAAAAGTAGTCGTAGAGTTTGCGCGCAGTCTCCACATCGGCTGCGGCGTGGAAGTCCGGCTTGCTTCCCTTCTTCAACTCGCCATAGAGGGTAAATTGTGACACTGGATGGGAGAGGGCAGGGGTGTCAGCGAAGCGCATCCCAAAAGACGATCGGTGGAGGGATATGACTGTACCGCAAAGCACTTCTCCATCGATATCTTGGACGTTCTTCTTCCACTAGATTTGCAAGGCGCCGCGTTAGATGTGTGCTGCAGGCAACCGAGAGATCGCGAGCCTCGTCTCACCGGTTTCTCATTCTCATCGGACCAAAGCTTGGCTTTCAATATTCGGCCAACCATCGTATCGGCATCTTTTTCCGTGTCCTCTTTGCCTACACCGGCAAGCACAAGCAGCCCCTGGCCGATCGACGACACAAGTTGTCCGTCGACGGTGACCGAGGCGGACTTGACTCGTTGAAGTACCGCTGTGCAAGGCATCAGTCAGGGCTATTTTATTTCGCAGGCATTTCTCATAGACTGCGCACCCTTCATATTGCAATGCGCCAAATAATAGTAATCAAGAAATGGTCGTGGCAGTTCAGCGATGGGGAAGTCTGCGAGGGTTTATGGAACTGCTTGTCAATATCGGCCTTATTGCGGCAAGCGGGTAGCTGCAACCGGCGGCGCATACTACTACTCACTGTCACTGGACAACAATTGACTGCTAAGTAAAATGCTGGAAATTAGGTCAGCGCACTCCTGTACAGTGGTCCAATACTAAGGGAAATGGGCAAATTCAGCCTCCTACCTCAAATCTTGCCAACCTGAAGACAAAAAAAGAAGTTGTTGTAGATTTCACCAACGCACACCATGGATCGTGTATGACGGAGGAGAAGATGATGAACAGTAAGGTTAAAGAGTTGCCCGCTCGCCGCCCCCGGGATCGGTAATGCCCATCCCCCCGTGACCGCCTACTGCTTCGGGCATTATCCCAGCTTCGAAGAGACCAGGACCAAAGTATCAGGAGATTGACACTCCTTCACTGTGTCCCTAGAAACAATCACGCCCCCCGCGTTCTTTTGTCAACAAAGAGCTGCGCCGGCAGTAACTTGCCCCCACGCGCTAGACCATCCGAAATTCTCTTCAATCCGCCCTGCGACCTTCCCTCCCGTTCATCCCATCCGTTCCTCGGCCCTTCCGAGTCTCACATCACCCACGTCAATTTTCGTCGAGTCCCTTCCCCTCTCTTGTTCATGTGGAAACGGTAGCCGCTATGACGTCCCGAAAAACGCAGCAGGAGATTGACAAGACCTTCAAGAAGGTCGCCGAAGGCATCGTCACATTTGAGGGCATCTACGAGAAGATCCGCTCGACGACGAATCACACCCAGCGGGATAAGCTCGAGGAAAACCTGAAGCGCGAGATCAAGAAGCTCCAACGGTATCGAGATCAGATCAAGTCGTGGGCGTCTGGAAATGAGGTGAAAGATAAGGGTCCGCTGCTCGAGCAGCGCAGAGCCATCGAGACCGTGCGCATCCCTCCGCCCTTCAATGCCTTGGCGAGGAGGGCAGCTTGTTTTGCTGACTATAGGAGCTTCTAGTGTATGGAGCAGTTCAAGGCCGTCGAGAAGGAGATGAAGACGAAAGCATACTCCAAGGAGGGCCTGTCGGCAGCGTCGAGATTGGATCCCAAGGAGAAGGAGAAGGTGGAGACATGCGACTTCCTATCGAGCATGGTCGACGAGCTACAACAACGGATCGAGGCTATGGAGGCAGAAGAGGAGACGTTACATATGCAGATGAAGAAGGGGAAGAAGGATGTGGCCAAGACGAATCGGTTATCGGATATCTCGCGGATCACGGAGCGTCATAAGTGGCATGTCAACAAGTTGGAACTGCTATTACGGTCGCTGCAGAACGGCAACGTCGAGACGCAACAAGTCCTGGATCTCAAGGAGAGTATCAAGTACTATGTGGAAGACGGGCACAACTTGGACTACTCGGGCGAGGACGAGACCCTATACGATGATCTGAACATGGACAACGAGGCGGAGATGCAGTTCGGCATCGCGGGCGACAACGACCGTGTATCATCGCAAGATACCCAGTCGGTGCAAGAAGAGGAACCGGAGGTTGTCAAGCCGAAAGCGAAGCCCGATACCTCGGGACCCCGACGACCTTCCGCGCAGATGAAGTCCCCTCTTCCCGTGCTGGCCACCCTCCATCCCGCAACGTCGACAAGTGCCACCTCGGGCATGAAGCCCGCCCCGCCTCCAACGCGCCTGCCAGGAGAGACCCTCAAGTACGCCTCTGCGGCGGCTGCAGCTGCTGCCAGCGACAAGAACGGCGTGGGCATCGCGCCTCTGCCGCCACCGCCAGGAGCCAGCCCCGCTTTCCCCCACGCCGTACCTGCATCCAAACCCTCCACCTCCACAACCGCCTCCCCCAGCATCGCTCCCGCACAACCCGCGGTGAAGTCCTCGACAGGAGTCACGATAGCGGGCGAGGAGTCGAGTAGTGGCAGCCGATCCAAGACCCCTGCTGCGAGTCCGCACGTGGCCAGCGCAAGCACGTCGACGCGAGGCGTGCCGCAGACTCCCGCCATGGAGAAGGTTGAGGCCTCGGGTAGCGGCAGCAGCACTAGCAACAACATCACCACCACCACCAGCAACAAATCCCGACCCACGACGACGGCGAACACCACCAACGGCGAGTTAAGCGGCAAGGAGGAATCGTCGCGCGAGAGCGAGGAATCCATCTATCACCTCCCGCCGGGCCTGCAGGATCTGATCCAGTCATTCGAAGTGACCAAGAGCCGTGCCGCGGCCAGTGCGACCAACCCGTCCCCATCGGTGCAGCGGTTGCTGGCGGCCTCCCTGGCCAATTGCCCCGAGCCGGCCGACGCGGAGAAACCCCGTCACTACAAGCCGCAGAACCCGTACAACACGCCCCTCTACTACCCCCAGGAACCACTCCCGATCTTCGACGACCCGCGTCTGTACGAAACCGGTCGCATCGACACGGATACGCTGTTCTATCTGTTCTACTACCGCCAGGGCTCGTACCAGCAGTACCTGGCCGCCAAGGCGCTGAAAAACCAGAGCTGGCGGTTCCACAAGCAATACCAGACCTGGTTCCAGCGCCACGAAGAACCCAAAACCATCACCGAGGAGTTCGAACAGGGAACGTATCGTTTCTTCGACTACGAGAGCACCTGGTATGTTTCTTCCCCGCTTCTTCCCTTTTGCTCACTTTTCTTGGAAGTAAGCCGGTCCAACACGAGAGTAAACTAACTTCGGGACCACAGGATGAACCGTCGTAAAGCGGATTTCAAGTTCGTCTACAAGTACCTTGAGGACGAACTATAAACCACCCCTTCCTCCACAACCATCAGCACGCGAACCACAATAATTCGAGGGCAGACTTACGAGATGTTGTTTGTGTACATGTGTTGAAATGTTCTATTTGCTCCCTCTATGATTTCACCACTGTAGATGAAGAAACACAAAACAGAGAGAAATCATAAGGAACAAAAAACAAAGACTTTTATTTCCTTGCTCATTCTGACAGCCGCCCATCCGGTTGCAGGAGGTACTGTACTGTGCCTCGAAGTGATCAAATCTGTCTCTTGTTTCTGATCGTATCTGTGATCTGTGTGAGATTTTTTTTCTTTTCTTTCTGTTTTCTGCTGGGTCTGCTCTTGTTTTTCTTTCTCTCTTCGAAAGCATGCAAAGGGAACGAAGTCTTACGACATAAGGGGACACAAATTGGGAGTTTCTGTGCTGTTTTATTCCTTGAACATGAATGGGGCTGCCGGGCAAATAAAATCACTGCAAAGAAAGGAGAAAGAAGAAGCCTTTTCTTTTTTCGGTATGTTTGTTTGTTGATATCCCTCTCTCGACCTTGGTGCATTAAAGGGTTACTGTTGTTGCTTTGGTAGATGATCTTGTCTTGATCTGAACTGAACACCATTTGGAATGGACACACATAAGCATCCCCCTCCCACCCCCTATCGAGGTTTTGTCTTCGTTTCTTCGGCCGGATAGTCTCGGTCATGAGTAGATGTGTAGGACGGACCTTCCGGGGTAAGATCTGCATTTGAGGTTCTAGAACAGCGGGGGGGCAGAGAGGGTAGAGGGCTGTGAATGCCAGGTTTTACCCTGCTGTGTGTGGGTTGCAACTTGGAAGGTGTGATGATCTGATGAAGGGAGGGGTGGGGGGGGTAGGAGGGGGAAAGAGAGGGGGAAGGGGGAAGTGGGAAGGGGGAAGGGGAAGGGGGGAAGAGGATACTTGAATGGAACTGAAACGGAGTCCTGGGTGGTGGTTTCATAGTACGGACTCAGGGAGAGGGGGGAAGCTGCATCTACCGAAAGTATATTCGGGTCTTCTCTTTGCATTCTTGGAAGGCAAGTCGGCAGATCTGCGACATGACATGCAGCAAGCAGTTCCTCAACTCTGAATGCATACATAGTACTGTACATACATAGTTAGTACCTTATGTATGCAGCCTGGAGAGTAAACTAGACTCCCGTACTAGGTAGGTTCAAGGAAGACCGGGGGGGAGAGGGGAGAACGGTGGATAAGACTCGGAAATCATGCAGGACGGACAAAATTCAGTAGGAGAGGGGGTCAAAACACAATCGAGAGAACAAAGAAAGAAAGTGCAGAGTTTTTTTCGTTTTTTTTTTTTTCTTTTTCTTTTTTTTTCTGGAGACTAGGTACCTTTAGAGACAGAGACTAACTTAGACGTCATCGAGAACCATGAAGACGAACATCGTGTGCTCCGTGCTCTGGTGATTCGCTCTTCTCTCACCGTATATCAGATGGTACGGTAGAAAGTCGGTGTAAAAATAGTCGACCAAGTGGGAAGAATTGAAGATTTTCCCCCAGCACGGACCCGAGAACAAGTGGGAAAAAGTGGTTTGTTTGTTTTGGTTTTTGTGTTTTTGGGGGAGCCGAATTAATGCTTTTAGCGGCGGCAATGAGCGCGCGGGAAGCAAGAGGGTCCGTAGGAAACTTCGATGGACAAAGGAAATTAATTAGTTTGGATCTTGAGAAGACCTGCAGGGAAAATAGTTGCCTGCCTGCCGGCCGTGAGGTGGTGCTTGAGCCGCGACGACCCTCTTTCCTCAGAGTGGGTGGGTGCACCGTACGTACGTACGTACTCCATCTCTCGAGCTCGTTGGAGCTAGAATCGATTTGTAGATTGGGTATCACACCCGTGGGTACCGAGAGGAAATTAAGGATGTTCGAGGATAAGGAAGAATGGGTCCTGCGATGATGGAATTGCCGCCGCTTGGATCAACTCGTCTAAGGAAAGACCAGTCGAGACCAAAAGACCCTGCCTGAGCTACCAAGTAGGTAGGTCCTGGTACTGAGAAGGGTAAGTAGCTGGTCCAGGTGGTCTGGCACGGATGACGGGTGGTTCTTCTATTACCGGTCAATCAATCACAGGTGAGGTGTGGATTACTGAGAGGCTCGTGATATCTACAGTAAGTTGGTCGTTAATCGAGCAAACGTACTCCGTACCGCGGCAGACAACCTCGCGAGGAAGCCCTGCTCGGATAACTCGGTCCTCCTCCAGGCTGTACTGCACAGTATTAGGCGTCAAGTTGACCAGTGGCCAGTGACCAGTGACCAGTGACCAGTAAGTCATGAAGCATCAATAAGAATAAAGCACGCTGATCTGGGGAAATATCGCGCAAGTCGCCTCACTTCCTTCTACCGCAGGAACGATAGAGAGCTTCATGTCATGCGCGATTTTACACGCGCAGGATAGGAGCAGGAACAGCTTCAGTGCTGGCTGTGTCAGATTCAACCTCATTCTGACCGCGGGAGGGGCTGTGCGGGTATTGATGGAGGTGGGTGAGTGATTGTAAGTTCTTCGGTTGCTTCTCGCCTGCATCTTGCCTTCTTGCTCATCATCATCGTCATTGTTACTTTCGTTTCCCCAGACCGAATCCCACCACCCGTGCTTCGCTTCTTGGCACTTCCAACAAGGCTGTCGGGAATTGAACAAGAGCCAAATCGATCGTTATTTAGCGACAACAAGAAAAGAAAAGAACAACGAAAAAGAAAAAGTAACAGGAAAAGCAACGCCCCGGGAAGCCCGTGCCGAACTGCGAGGTATTCCATTCCCGGCCGGGGAAATTACCTACTAACCCTCCCTCCCTTCCTTGTCAATTGCAGTCTGTTCTCAGCTCTTATCGCCAACCACCCACGATCCATTCCGATCGATTCGATCTTTCCCCATTCGCTCGCTGCGATCACGTTCCTCCCGCCTTTCCCCAAGATGCATTCTCTGCATCTCTTTTGCCCGATGGCCCCGGGGTTCGATGACTCCTGCACAAGGGCGGCTCGTGACAGCTGAGCTACACAGACATACAGTTCAGTCAGTACTTTTGATACTTTCTGTATCTCCGGTCGACATCATCGGGAAGCTTTTCCGTTCAGTCTCGTCTCGCCAAATGCATCTGGTAAGCTCCGTCGGCAGGCTCCGCTTCGAAAACTTTCCCGCCTGGGGGAAGGGCGAGAGGGAGATGAAGAAAAAGGTCGAAGGGAAATGGCGGTCTTGTTGGAACGAGTCAGGAATCGATCCTAGCCCGCATCATTTTTTTCCAGAACCTTGGCCAGTCCTTCATCGAGGCCCAACTTGCGACTAAGATGGTAGCAGCCGACGGTCCACCGAATTGGTTTGAATTATTATTTATCACTTAATCAGTTGATGTGGGGGATCGCTCTTCCCTATGACGATATCAGGATGATTAGGTTGATTAGGTTGATTCGAGTGTCAGCCTTCACCGCAGAGTGTCTTGGACTTTTGGCTGGTTTTGGTTGGAATCATTGGAATGGCTCCTCTTTTTTCTCGGGCCGGAGTGGAGTCCGTCGCTGGTTACTTTCCGTGCCAACCACCAATCAACCAGAAATAATCGCCCCTAGAAGCTTGGAAGAAGGTTCTTTGGTTCTTCGGTGCTTCTAGCGTCAGCACTAGCCGGGATCGCTTCACTTCCAAAGGTTTGCAATCTGCCCACTCGCCAATTGCAGTGCCCCGCTGGCGGGGGGGGCTGTGTGGTAAACTGTGGTAAAATGTGGGAAACTGTGGTTGCTGTTGTTTTCTCCTCCAATTCTTCCTGCATTATTCCCGGTTCCCATTTCCCAGGGCTCCCAGGCTGCATTGAGTATTGAGTCTAAACCCCCCTCCCCTCATTTCTCCTTCCCAATCCACTCTTCCCTTCTTCTTCCCACCCACCCACCCTAGCATTTTAGTGGAAGATCATACTAGTCCGTAGCGCGCTCACCTGATGATGTCGCCGTGGGTGCGTTCGTGTTGCTTAGTTTCTCTGGCGCTGGCCGTTTGGGCTGTTTTTGCAGTGGAGAAGCACCGGCCGCGTCTAATGCAAGTGCGACGTAGTCGACCTGACCTGATCAAAGAAGACAATGGTTATAAAAACCCGGAAAGCCCAGTCTGGCTGGTTCACGCTTTTGCTTGTTATTCACTAGTATCACGGTCTCTCTTGGATAAAAGAACCCTTGCGGACTATTGATTTACTGAAACTCTTTCTCTCTCTCTCTCTCTCTCTCTCTCTCTCTCTCACACACACACTCTTTCTTTCATCGCGTCCTCACCGTTGTATATACTTTCTTATTTTCCTTTACTTGACTCCACAATGTATGCCATGTCTGCAATGGTGAGTCCCAGGCTATGTGAGGGTTACCTATCGCAAGATACCAAGACTGACTTGAACCCTTATAGAGCCCTCCTATGCTTGAATGTCCCCCAATGGAACACTCGTACTCCACCAGCAGTGAAGAGTCCATGCAATCGACTCTGGGATACATGGGCCACCCGTCGTTGTATGGGATGGTAGGGACGGAGATGTCTTTCGTCCAGCCCACATACGAGCCCTCATCATACGACTCGACACCCTTCAGTTCCCCCCAGACGGTGGCCTCGTCGACCTTCGACATGTACTACCCCAGCAACAACAACACCTTCACGGCCTCGCCCATGGTCTATTCGCCCGAAGCCTACTCGTTCCACCAGCTTCCAATTCCAGCGTCTTCGTTCCCGGTGCCCAATATAGAGTGGATCCCCACCCAATCCAGCCCGAACCCGGAAGTTGTTTACTCTCCCGTTGAAAGTTACGAGACCCTCGACGCGTCCAAGTGAGTTCCCCATTTTCTTTTTTCGGTTTTTTTTCTGGGTGGTTGTTAGTCCACAAAGCTAACCCGCAGACCCTGCAGACCCGTCAAGCCCTACACCTGCGAGGACTGCAACAAGGCGTTTACTCGGCCAGCCGATCTGAAACGTCACCAGACCAGCGTCCACAATCCTGTCTTCCAGGACTGTCCCGTGCAGGAATGTCTCCGCAAGGATGGCAATGGGTTCCCTCGTCGGGACCATCTGATCGAGCATCTACGCTCCTTCCACCACTGGGACGTGCCCAAGCGGCGGGCAGCCAAGCGGGCCAAGACAGCTTAGACGGATGTCTGTGTGGCCTGCCTTGTCTTGTCTAGTTTTTGTCTCCGTGTGTTGTGTTATGAATAGAGATACCCTTTTCCTTTGTCAGATGTTTATGTTTATGTTCATGTTCATACTTATGTCCTCATGTCCTTTCCTATGTCATGTTCTGTTGTTTTACATTATGTCTCCATGAATGTACCTCACAATAGAGTGAGGGAGGTGGACTGGGCCAAGGCGGCGTTTATTGTGGTTGTACATTGGACTCGGTGTCATGGATCAGCAGCTTCTTGTCTGGTTTATCTTTTTGCATTTGCATTTACATCTTTTACTGAAAGTCTGACCAGTCCCCTATATTATTAGATACTATACACGAATATGCCTATACCATCCATGATATGACCTTGACCCTTCTTCCAACCCGATCATAAATCACAATCTCATGTAACCCTAAACATAACCCTCTGCCCTCTCATCCCGAAGACCCCTCCCCGAAATCCACAAAACAAACCCCACCCGCCCTCCCCTCCCCATCAAACACCACCCCCTCCGCCTCCAGCAACCGGCGCTTCATCCCCACCCCGTCCCTCGCTCTTCCGGCCCCCGCCCTTGGGCCCCCGGAGTACCCGACCAGCAGCCGCCCGCCCCCGCCCAGCACCCGGTGGCAGGGCACCTCCGGCGCGAAGGGGTTCAGGCGCATCGCCGCGCCGACGGCCCGCGGGCTCGTGCCCAGGTGCCGCGCCAGCGCGGCGTAGGTCGTCCACCGGCCGGCGGGGACGGTGAGTAAGGTCTTGTAGATGTTCCGGCGGTGCGGGGGGAGGGTTGGGTGGGTGTGGATGCGGTGGAGGGGTTTTTGGGAGGTGGGGGTGGAAGTGGTGGTGGTGGTAGTGGTGATGGGGGTTGGGGATGGGGCTTGGGTCTTGGGACTGGGTGCTTTAATGGTTTTTGTAGTGGGTTCTGGGGTGGGCATTTTGTGTGGTTGTAGTCACTTATGTATTTTGGGTTATAGGTGTGTGTATGTTGTGGTGAGTGGGTGAGTGGGTGAGTGGGATTGCTAGGTTTGGTGTTTGGTATTTGGAATGTCTTTTGGTCTGTAGGTTGGGGTGTGTTGAGAGGCAGCAGACTAGCTTTTGGTCTTTTTGTTTGGGCTTTGTAGGCAGTGTCTGTGATGCTTTGGATGGATGGATGGATGGATGGATGAGTCCTTGGGAGGGTGGGAATTAGTCAGCTTGTTCGTGTTGCTGGAAGTTACGGTGGTGAGTTACCTTGGTTGTGTGGAGAGTGGCTGAGTTGGAGGCTTGCAACTGTGAAAGAATTTGAGTAATTGAGGGTGCAGTGGTTTTTAGTCTAGGAGACGGTATAAGTAGTTACGATGATTTGAGGAGGAGGTTGTTATTGAGCGGTAGGTATGGAGATGAGGTCGGGGTTGCTGTGGAATTGACCAATCATTGCGGGTTGTCGTCTCTTCGGTTCGGAAGGTTATCCGGTATGCACTGCCAAGTATCTTACTACGTAGTACAGTAAGGTAGATGGTTCATATTTATCATTTAATCGGGTTAGCTAGCCTGGAAGTACGTAGAAATTAAGGCAGATCAATAATTCACGCCACTTAGCAGCGGTCGAGCTAGGGGCTCGTCTAAATAGCGCTAAACTACTAGCTACATCCCATCCTGCCGTGCTATACATTCACATGCTCCACCACCAAACTCCCCTTCCTGGCCGTAGTCTCAACATACCCCGGATTCTCCGCCTTCAACCTCGCAAACGTCTTCTCGGCATCCCACACCCATGGAGAGTCCGCCGCGAACAATAGATCCATATCCTCCAAGGTCCGCTGGTTACTCTCCGGGTACAGCGCCCACACCATCGGGATCGTAATGACATTGCTCGCTGCAAACACATACAGCGTCTTCTCGCCGATGGCACTGAACATCACAGGGCATAGCAGGGTCTAGGAGAGAGATCCGTTAGCGGGTGTGCAGTCATGGTAGCCGCGCTCGTGCTTCGTCTGGCTTCCCGCACGGGGAATCTTTGGAAGCCCGTCCATTCCAAGTCATCTCCATCAACTCCAGTCATTCCTTCAATCTCCGTCATCCACGAAAACCATGTTCTCGAACGGGGAAAGGGAAACGAAAAGCACGGGCTCGCTAGGGGCACACTAACCAGCCAACCATTTCCGATGCTCCACCCAACGACTCCCCAGGCGTTGCCGCGGGCCCGCACCGCAAGCGGGTAGATCTCGGCTGGGTAGATCCATGGCACTACGTATATCAGCGTTAGCCTCTCTCCTGAACGCATCCCATCATAAGACATACCAGTCAGCCATGTCGCGCCAAACACAGAGGTAAAGATGAAGATCATCGCAGCGGCCGCCGCACCAAACGAGGCCGCCTTATCGCTGTGGCCCGCCTCCCGAGCATTGATGGCCAGCCGCGAGAAGCCTCCCGCCAGGAACATGGCGATCCCCTGCGCGGTGGATCCCCAATAGAGCGTCCAGCGGCGGCCGATGCGATCAAGCGTGAAGACGCAGACGAGGGTGGCGAACTGGGATTCGGCTCGTCAGAATGTGCGTACACAATCGTGACCTATTACCCGGCTTACCATGTAAAAGATATTGTTCAACCCACTTAGCCATTGGCTTTTCATCGAGTCGAAACCTGCGATGCTGAAGATTGTCGGGGCGTCTGTTTTGTTTCACTTGCGTCAGAAGCCTGTGCAGACGAAAGATGAGGGGAGAGTTAAGGGTCAACGTACAAACTGTGACTCCTGCGATACCAACCCATTCTTGCATGATCTGAAGCCAGATGACCAGCTGCACCCGTCGACCCAGATGCAGTTTCCCCGTCTTGTACCCAAACAGCATCGCTAGGTATGAAGTACTGTGGTTCATCGACCGCTCCAGCTCGGCCACACTCTGGATGTCCCGGAACTCCGCCTCGGCGCGCACAGCATCATCCCCCGTGTTGCCGCGCAGCCGGCCGAGAATGTAGCGCGCTTCTTGCTCGCGACCGACCTTGACGAGCCACCGGGGCGACTCGGGGAAGAACCAGACCACGCCAAACAACATGAGGAGGAAGATGATCTGGAAGGCGATGGGGAACCGCCAGCGGAACGCGGACTTGCCGCCGTCGATGAAGGACAGACCGCTGCAATTGATCTTAGCATGTGCTGCTGAACCAGGTTGAAACAAACCAACAATTGGATACGTACAACTCCAACCAATAAGCCACCACCACACCGAAGATATTCAGCGTGAACTCAATCGCAATGAATTGGCCACGCGAAGTATGCTCCGCCGTCTCTGTCGCCCAAACCGGGACGATTGCATTCAAGATTCCAGTCCCGATCCCATTGACCAAACGCGCTACATCAATCCCATTAGCATCAGCCCGCCTCTCTGCATCAGCTATCGGATAGCGTGCATCCGAATTCAGAGAGACCCAACTCACCGCAGATCATCCAATCGTGATTCTGCGCCGAGCACTGCAAACAGGCGCCGACCACCGCCCAGGCCGCCCCGACGGCAATCGTCCTAATCCGCCCAACCTTGTCCCCGACCCAGCCCCCGAGGAGCGCGCCGCACAGCGTGCCCAGGTAGTAGACCGAAACAATGCCCCCCTGCAGCAGACTGTCCGTGACCACGGCGGTCAACTCCCCGTTCTCCATCTTCGTGTACCCGAACCCCATCAGGTCGATGTAGTCCTTGGAGTTGTTCACGCCCGCCATCACCCCCTGGTCGTACCCGAAGAAGAGGATGGAGAGGGCGGCCACGCTGTTGATGGCGATGAGGAGCTTGCGCTTCTCGAAGCGGTGGACGATGTTCCATGACGGTATGAGGTCCATTGTGTATATGCTCGGTTTTGGCGGATCAGTGAGCGTGATTTGTTTCCATGGAAGGGGCTCATGCAGTAGTACAAGCTGTTCTCTTTTGTGATAAAGATATCAAAGCCACTTTGCACCGGTGGTCGAAGGGTAGAACGTACGGGAAGCGCATCCACCAAAAGAACAAGAACAATATGGTATGGGGGTCAAACTACAGGGTCATGCAAACTACTTAAATATTCGCTACAAGCAATCGTGGGACCCCATGCATCGATCTAGACATGACGATCGGCCGGTCCCGCCTGGGAGCGTGCAGAACTAGGAGAAATCGCAGCGTTGGAGTTGGTAGGTCAACCCTAGCGAACCCCCACGATCACAGTCAAATATGGTTACATTCCGGTGGGATTGAGATAAGACGTGCGACCCTTGGGGGTTTCTGCCGGTGTGGGTAAATGGGTCGGTCATGCTGTCCCTGACGGGCTACAACTTTCAGCCCACTCCCTGTTCTGCACAAAGATCCACTCCCGAAAGTTGAATGTGACGCGATGGGAGGTGGGGGGGTTTGGGGTTGGGCCGTTACCATTATTATGGGGGTTTTGCGGGAAAAGCTGGGGTTTGCGGATGACGGGAT